CTGTCATCCAGAAATTTTGCTACCATGGCAACGTGGCGTAACGACTTCTCCTCTCTATTGGCTTGGCCTCAGGGATTGAACCCACAACCTCTATCGATGGTCTCATTCGGAGGAGAGTGTCGATGCTCCTAAGCAGTTTTCACCTTAAAAGAGTCGACCGACTGAATTTTTACACTTAGTAAACTGCCTAAAATCAAAGAGGCGGAGCCCACAAAGGGAAATGGGATCTTTAAGAAAGAATACTTACCAAAACAATTATAGCAGCCGGAGCGACAAAGGCACAATAAAGGAGGTTATGTTCTAATGTCAGCCAGCAGTTTTCAGCTACGTATTTCTCGATACCAGTTACTATAAGGGTCACCATAAAGGTCATTCCCACTATTGTGAAAGGGAAACCTGAAACAAAGCACATTTTAAAATATCTGAGCGATTTCTCGCGCGCTGATTGGTTTAGAGCTATGAACATGTATGATGGACAAAAAGTACAGGCCATGGAAATGATGTGATGATGAAGATATTTGTTTGTACTTGCACGCGAGCTTTTCCAAAAAAAAAAACCTCAATGGCACATGATGGCAATGGGCGTCAAAAACTGAAAATGTTGTAAAATACAAATCGACAACGATTTTCGCTGGATTATACACTACTTGACGATAGAACTGCCTCAAAATGTTCAAAACTTTACAGTGAAACCACTCGCCCGCGGCTCGACGTGTTTCCTCTTGAGTTATGAATATGTTGACATCATTACTATGGCCGATAAGAGTATACACCTTGGAAAATTGTTGTGGAATTGTTAAATATATTTTGTAACTTACTGACATACACTGGAGAAAACAATTTCTCCATTAAAATAGAAAAAACCGTTGTTTTACAATCAAGATTTGAATAACGTTAAACTTTAGTGTTTTTTCTTTCCTTTTGTTCACTTCCTATCTCCCTTCACTTTCAATATGAAAATTAACTAAGTTCTGTCAAGAGAGAATAATGGAGACCATTCCGGTTTTTCTTGGTTCTCTCGTACCCTATGACCGTGAACATTCCATCAGTTTTACCAAACACTGTTTCTATCAATTTCAGTTTGAAACAGAACGAAACATGTATTTCTTATAGTTATGCACCCGGCCACGTTATTTAGACGTCTCTGCATTACGCAAATTCAGAAGCAAAGGACGATGGGACGTTGAATGAGCTGGCGAGAAATGCTTTTTCTGTTGTTTACCGCCTTCCTATGATGGCAAATTGTCTCCCTTTGTTTGAGTTATTCGTGGCGTCTATTAGAATTTTTGTCACTTTGCCTTCATTTTTGACAAGAAAAAAAATGGGCAAGATAGCTAAAGCGCATTTACAAACGGTGGTAGGTAAAGCAACGTCACTGCGCACATATGATGGCGTGTATTTTCTCCTCTGCAGAAGCTCAAAGAGGCTTTTTGGTGTGAGTTGGCAGGCTCGATCTTTCAGTTTTTGCGCCTTCACTTACTTCGCACAGCGAAAATCCAAAAACGCTCCGTCGAGCCTCTGAGAAAACGGGAAAGATGACCTAAATTGACGTTAACTTTTCTCTTACCCCATCCAAAAGTGTAAAACCACTTCATCTTTGAATGAAGTTTATCTCCCAGTTCCGTTTTTATGATGAGTAAATAAAGCAGGACCCCATGGTTGAACATCCATGTGAACACACACAGGAGAAAATAATGAAGTAACGCCGCCATGACTGTACACCAAACCTGTCATAGAAAGTGAATGTTAACCCGTTAAATCCCAGAGTGACCGCCTATTTGTTCCTCCTCGCGCGTCTTTCGTTCTTGCCTGGCTTATGGAAGGAAACGGAAAAGAGTGCTTCGCAGGCTACCAGCATCAGTTCTCCAAGAGAAATATCAATGCATCCTGATCAGCTATGATAACTGATAAAACAATCACCACAAGGGAAACTGTTTAGATCTTTTATCAAATCCTCTCAATGAGAATGTAGAACAGGACAATCACATGACTTTTGGAGGGCAGATAGTTTATTTGTGGCCCGAGTAGCGTCATTTGCGTTCGAGCGGAACGAGGGTGCAAAAGATGCCACGAGGGACACAAATAAACTATATGCCAGACAAAAGTCATGTGATAATCATTATTATTAATACAAGTGGCAACATCGTACAAATTATTTCATGACGACGGATTGTTTAACATGAAATCATGTTGCGGGCTGCAAATTCCATTTACAGCCCGCACTTTGTCATTTGGCCCGCGAAAAGGAGCGTTTTAGAGAGGGCAGTTTGTCATTGGGCCACGTGTAGTGATAATGATATTAAATTGTTTGCAAATATTGGGGCTTAAAGGCCAGGGTTAAAGGATCTTAAGTTCAATCTGATTCTTATAACAACGGCAGCCGGTCAGTCGCCAGGGAAACAAAATGAGGTGGTGCTACCGAGAAAGGACATATCCAAGGGTTACTAGTATGAGCATGAAAAGATAAGAATTTGTAATTTGTTCCGTTTTTATGAGTGGAAGTAGTAATTCTTGCGGCTGAAAAAAAATAAGAAAGAGATTTAGTCAATTCTGAAAAAAGCCTTCCAAGTGGCCCATTGGGATGTTGAGTGTTTCTGGGTGTTGTAGACTGTTGGTGACACTTTGTCATGTGGTGTGAGTATTGTGTAGTGCCCGTTTAACGTTTTGTATTACGTCATCTGGCGATCGCATCATCTTCAACAGCAGAGACCACTCCGAAACTGAAAAAGAAGCAATAAATCGACGATGGGGGGAGGGGGGGGAGAGAAATTTCGGGAGAATTTTGAAATAGCCTTTTCTTAAGTAGGGAGGTGAGTGAGAGGATAGTACCAATCTAATGCTGATGAAGAAAACTTGAGTTAAAAATATTTACCTCCTCAAGGTGAAAGTTCTCATTGATCATGATTAATATGCAAGTCGCAGCAATAGCAAGGCACAAATGTAATATCATTTTCACTCTCGGGCTCTTCAAATACTTCCAAAGGCATGCCGTTAACATGAAGGTCAGCAGTAGAAACAGCAAAGAGCATGCGCAGCCTATGGTGGCGATAGACTTCAAGTACAGTTCGTGATGAGTTTTGACCTAGAAAAGAGAATAAAGTTGCAAGAGAAAAGCGATTTTGTATTCCCAGTGCCATAGTGCGTCATGCAAGCTGCAAAAGGTATTTTGTTGTATAGTCCATCACTTCCTTGCTTATTTCGCGGTTGTCTACTGTAGCATGAAGAAATTAAAGCTCTTGGAATTCGGAAATAAACGGCTTGTATTATGGTTGTCAGTAACCATTTTGAATTAGGGCAGGTCACTTCAACGCAGCTGCATGATCATGCTTGCCTTCACGGCAGACCCGTCTGGACTTCTTTGTGACACAAAATCGTCCCAAGGGTCCCGCCTCTTTCGCCACTCGAGAATGCTTGGCGACAGGGTACAGCATGTAATAATAATAATAATAGTAATAATAATAATAATAATAATAATAATAATAGTGATAAATAAACTGGAATATGGATATTTGTTCTAAACTTAAGCTCATATTCCTGGAGCTGCATGGGAATCCAAAAAAAATAATTTTTTTTACCGGTTTGTTGTTCATTAACACTGCGAAGATTGTCAGGTGATCACACTCGCATGTGGTAACTCGCGCGTTTGATTCGTGTTCCACACGCACGCACCCACGCGTTAACCACGTTCTCTGTGGAAGTCCTATTTGCCAAAATACACAGCTCCCAATAAAATCTTCACTCTGCAGTAAAAAAGACAGTTTACTTCTCGATCAGTTATCTGATTCATTTATCCATCTTTATGCACACCGGATAAATGCTTAGAAAACTTGAAGCAAATGAAAGCAAGTGGCGGGAATTTTGGTGGGGAGATACAAATGATAGAAAAATGTGCTAAACGATAAATGAAACCAGCGATAGAACTCAAGAACTTATGGATAAAGAACATAAAGAGGACACTTCTTCCCCCCCCACCCCCAGTTACTATTTTCGCTCTCTAGCAACTGTTAACGTTAATTTTTCAAATGTTGCTGCTTGAACACCCCTGGCAATATATTATTACTCATGCCTGGAGCCATTTCACAAATCTTCTTCTCGATCAATTCTAACTGTCTTCTTTTATCATCTTTTCTGTCACTAGATCTTATATACTGAGCTGTATCGAATTTTTTGTTTTTTCTAATTCAGATAACTACTTCTTTCTTGTTCATTATTTGGTAAGGGACATGACCTGAATAACCTGAAGACGAAGTAACATATTGGCGTGAATCAGGAGTGAAAAATCTTCTCGTGCATGAATTGATTTTTGAACATACCAGCTTCACTACATATTTTACTTATATATGGATGTTATTTCACATTTTTTTTAAATTTTGATTGCATATTTACTTGAATTACTCGGCACGTTAATGTCGCAGGCAACTAAACTTCACAAAATATATCAGTTTCCCAGTGAGGAAAACCCGTCTTTACGAATCGATAAAATTGGTTCAAAGAAGCACAAAAAACTTATCCATAAAATAATAATTTAGTTGCATACGGTGTATACGTAAGTTGTAATGTAGATGTTGTAGCAAGCATTTCCTCCCAAGCTCGCTGAGGGACGAACTCGCGCGGAAACACTTGCTACGCTGGCTAGTTGAGAGACATGTCCCTTGCCTTGTTCTTGTGATAAAAAACAAACTTGATTGGTTTTCTCATCGGGCTGACAGGACGCGGAAGAATTGTGGCGGAAACAATACTTGAGCCACTCTTGAATTTTGTCCTTCCATTCTTTTCCTCGTTCTTTGCACCCTCCTTTTCAAGTGTCAAGATATTGTTGAGAGTCTTGTAGACAATGGTGGACGCTTGAGTTGTTGAGTTTAAGGCGAACGCTTCACCAGGAACAAAGATTTTTGCGCCGTACTGGGAGAGGTCCATGCTGAGCTGAAAAAAAAATTGAAATATCAATCTAGAATAGGAGTCTTCTTCTCAAGAGAAAAAACAACGAAAGAAACAAAAGTAATATGAACGAAACGATTAAAAAGCAATAACAATAAAGCTGGTTTGTTACAAGGGAGAAAACATGAAAATGGGAGTTGTGTGGATGCGATTGTCTTTCAAATTATTTTCAGAAGTTTTGATTGGTTAGGAGTCATTACGTCACCCGTAGAGCCATGGCTTACAGCCATATGAGTAGGGCGGTGTTCGGGAGGTTAAGAGAATAGAAATTCATTGATTATTTTGCACATAAATGCTTAAAAAAGAGTTTGGTTCTTATTAACTAATTGGCGGCCGTGACATCAGCCACAAACCACTACCTAAGAGGTTGCTCTATTAATGCGCGGTCAATGGAATGAAAGGTTTTTTAAATTAGTAATCAAACATTTTACTCCACGGACAGAGATTGAACTCTGATAAATATAAAACATGCTACAAATGAAGGCTAAAAGTAATTCTAGGTCATGAATTTTTTCATTTTACCTTTTTTCTTGTTGTTAAGAGATCCACCCTAAAAACAATGTTCTGCTTGCGGATTATCACGTAAGTTAAGTTTTCCAAACCCGTGTCCAGTTGGCTACCAACTTGTGAACCAAAGTCGTCCATTGCATTTAGGAGGTCGTCAGTTACATTACTGCGGCTCTAAGAATTTGTAAACAAAAAGTAGTGAGAGCAATTTCTTGAAAATAGTAGCCTGCGCTACAGACGAAACTTAACTCTTGTTAAGTCCGTCTGCGAAACAGCGCCGAAATCCTTGTTCTGCCTCCCTCCCCCCCCACCAACCTGTGTACCAGGATTTAAGTACGCGCCTTGATTGTCCTGCTGTTAAAATACACATTGTTGATTGGCCAATCCTGATGTTCCTTAGCCTCCCACGCAGGCGTTTTTAGGGGAGCTCGTATTTCTTCCCTCCCCACAAACGCCTGCCCAACCGAAAACAACATTCCTTTTCCACTGTTTTATTTGCGTGGTAAGTGACCTATCAACATTTTTGAAATAAAGTGTTGAAAGACTAAACACGACTAAAACGTGACCTTAGAGTTACCGTTTTCCGTCTTTTCTTTCCTTCGTTTGTGGGGAGGGATGAAAAACGAGCTCCCCTAAAAACGCCTGTGTGGAAGGCTAGATGTTCCTTTGATTCTTTGAGTCCGTTGGCGACGTAGAACAAGGATATCCGTGCTGCTTTGTAGACGTTTAATACTTACAGTAGGAGTCTACTAACCGAAATTAAATTACGTCAGCGACGCAAGCTAGAAAATAGCTGATGTCTTAAACAATTAAAGTTTAGGCCCAACCTCGTCCCCACGGCGCTTTTCTCTGGCTTTGGAGGTGGGGCGTCCCACCTACAAAGCCAGGGAAACGCACCCTGGGGACGAGGTTGGCTTAGGCCAAACTTCAAACGTTTCATGAGACGAACCAAACGCTAATTTGGGTCGGCCTAACGGTAAGTTAACATTGTCTGTTGGGTCAGACGTCGAACTAATAAATTGAATCAGATAAGTAATAAATTTTCTCCCGAACGCGACTAAATAGGCCAATTTAATTTATTACTTTAGTTCGTCGCATGTGAAAGTCGACGCTTGTCCTGGAGACGATCTTCAGTCGTTCTACCCGTCTGAAGTAGATGGATAGAACGTGTTGGATGATCCAAACTTATTCAGACCAACTTCTCAAGAAAAGTTCGACGTTTGGCTTAGGCCTAAATTAACTTCACATACCTCTTGCAGATGTAACCAAGTGGGGGTATTTTCTTCCTCCAGAAGATTACTTGCTAGTTGTACAATATTTTGCTGGTCTGTTATCGTATTAACTGCACTGTTGTTCACCAGTGAATTATAGTTTACAAGTTGAGCTAGCATCTTCACTGATGCTGACAATTCTTTTGCAGTGAGTGTGATTTCATTCCCTGGTTTTGTTGCGTTTGCCAGACTTTTGATAAAACTGCTTACATTTGCCGAGGAATTCCCTTTAAATAATTCGTCAATCTAGATCGAGAAAAAAAAACACATAAAAAAGAAATTCAGTTGATGCAAAGTGATTTCTCAATATCTTTGTTCTGACCACAATGATCGCGATGAGTCACTATCTAATTAATGAATTTGCGATTTCGTAGGTATAGTTGTCATTCGGAAACTCCTTGGGAGACGTTTGAAAAACAATGCCATAACAAGCCATACTGCTTCATTATTGACGCCGTTACTGCGGGCGACTAGTGGAGCCCGCAATCACCCCTATCTCCAGGTTGCTATTACGTGTGTGCGGCATGTATGTAGCCAGCATGGACTTACAGCATATCCCTATTTGTTTGAACTTCCACTAAGAATGAATGGAATGCGTAGAACGCAATCTGATCCGATTGGGTTGGGCACGTTGCAAGGGAAGAAGAGACAGGACACAGGCAACAAGTTGGACAATTGTCATCTATTTCAAATCAGTCCTATTTTGTGTACTCGCGGTCTTGAGTTATGTGGCAAACGCAAAAATAGGCCGTGTCGTCTATTTAACCGATAAATGTCAGTAATAAAACCTGCGCTTAACGCACAGGGAGCGAAAAACCTCTATTCTATCAGCTATCGCTGGAACAGTTACTTGTGGGCAGTTGTCAGACCCCCTGTGTGTATTATTACTGCTTTCTCCGTTCCACTTCTTGTACACTGTTACTTCTGAAAAGGTATGTACACTAGCATGCGAAAAATCAAGTTTATCATAAAGGTCATTAAATGTATTTTATTAGTATATGCGTATTACTGCTGCTCGTTTGAATTTTGATTCAAGCTAAGAGGGCCAAGAAACAAGGGTTAACGTCACCTTTTATCAATGGCATTACCACACATAATGTCTTACCATACCTTTCAAAAAATTAAACTGGAATTTAACTGGTTTATCGTTAGATGACCGACGAAATAAAATATATCGTGTCATACAAACCTCTTTTTGTAACGATACAATCTTGTTGTATGATCTTGTTGGTGGTGACGGGCTGGTAGTGACGTTACCTAATGTAATGTTGTCCTTTCCTGTTATTCCTGTGAGAGGGATGCAAAAGAAAAATTAGTCAAGGAAACTAGAAAATATGACAGAAATGTTCTCCAGTTTAAGCTTTTCAGAGCAAAATTTGTTGAAACCGATTGTTGACAGTTTGTTGTCAACGCTTCACGCATCAGCCAATCGTATTTTGCATTGTGAGGCGAGCAGTTTCTCTTTTTTCTTCTCGGGCTGCCGCCCTCGTTTCTCGCGTCTCGCGGCTTAGCCGCTCAACACTCGCGCGGGCGTGTACTCCCCTTACTAAATCTGAAGAAAAAGACAGACTTCTCGCAGTCTATTTTTAGTTTTTAGTCGAGAGTGTTCTTTTAAGATAAATATAACTTGCTGGCCACTGTCAAAAGTAAGTAGGCACTCCAGTATAAAGGGAGTTATAAGTAATATATCCAAAACGACACACAGTGTTTCGACATGTGGGGTTAAAAAACGAAGCACGGCCCAGTTTTTTTAAGACCGACTTCGAGGTGTCTGGATATTGGATGAAACATTAAGTGGCGTTTTTGATATAGCTTCATAAATGAACAATGATTCTTGGAGAAATTCAAAGATAGAGTTCCCAAAATGTTATGGCAATTAGTATCCGATATCCAAACCACCGTCAAGGTTATGATTTTCATTGTTTTCTCTTTAGGAACTATTTTAAAATGAGTTAGAGAAGTAATAAGCCACCTCCGATAGCTCGAGTCAGGCCATCTCTTGCTGAAAAAGAAAACCCTGTTCAATTTCAAAATATTTTAAAAGTTCGTCGTCTTCGTCGTCCCTTTCCGGTGCTTTTCCGCGACGACGACCAGGACAACGTCAACAAACAATTGGTTTTGTGAGCAAAACAATAGCTCTGCACTTGCAACACGCTTTTCAGTGCATTTCGTTGAAGTCCACCGTGCGACTACGACAGGAAACCTCCTAATGCGACGTTTTATGGAGAACGTAAGCATACGAAGAGGAATTTTCCTTTCTCTTTTTGAACCAGGAAAAAATCCTTAATGATTCAACTTCAGGGAAAATCGCCCACATTTGACAAACTGAGCGGGTACAGATAGACGCGATTAAGTTTGAAAGGACGCAAATTAATTTTTTTAGAGCCGTTTCATCATCTTTTCCTAGCTGTATTTAGTTTAAAAGGGAAAAAGTTGTTAATTGTATTCTTCTTTGTATTAAATATAGGCAATATATATAAAAAATATAACAGTTTTTTTCCTCGGTGACAAAGCAGTTGGTAAAGGTGAAAGTAAAATTAGAAATGTGGGTGATACGTTAATTGTGATAATTTCAGAAGTTAAAAATTTGGTGCAGGGTAGTAAAAACAAAGTTGTTTTATTTGAAGAATCAATTGTTTTTGTTTGATGGTGGCGATTGACGACCCTTAAGTTCAGTGTGGATGTTTTAATCGAACAAACATTGTTTCAATTCCTGTGCTTCGGAAATTTACATTCACGTAATTACCACAGGGATATAAGATTGATGGACCTTAAACTCAACACCACAGCCTTCGCGGCTCACATACCGTGCATATTGGTTATTAGTATATACACACTCAGTGATCTTGGTGATTTAAGGAATCTGATTGGTTCGCTATCTCGGACTATTCAACAATATTCACCTCCTAGCGAGTGGATAATGTGTGAGCTCGGTGTTTTTCCCGTTTTTTTTAGAGAACGATCTTTTAAAAGTCGACAAAATCCTAGGGCTGACTTTTTTTAAGGCAAGAAAAGACTTGGAAGGATTCAATACGGCGTTTTTCAATTTACTGTAGCAGGAGTTTTGTGCTCGATGGATTGTTTACAACTCCCGTGTATTCGCGTAGAAGAAGCCGTTTCGTGAACTCAGCGTTTTCTAAGAAGAAAATTTTGGCTCCAAAATAGAAGTTTATTTATGACAAACAAATTTAAAAGGAAATGTTTGCAGAAATTCTACATTTCAAGTAAACAGGAAAAAGAATGATACAGGAAGACGACCTCTTACCTCGAGCAACCGAGCCGCC